TGTACCACCCACCCTGCTGCATAACCGTCTCCCTGTCTGAGATCTGCTGTCAACGTGGTGCATCACATTGCTGCACAACAGTCTCCCTGGCTGAGTTGCCTCAGCTTTTTGTGCTGGGGCACTTCAACATCCATGCAGAGACCAGTTTGTCAGGAATAGCCAGGACTTCATGTTTACTATGATTACCTTGAGACTCTCCAAAGTGGTATCTGGCCTCACTTATGTTGCCAGGCAATTTTAACCAAGTTTTTCTGTACCAGATGATGTGAGTTTTGAAGGAACTCTCAGTAGTTCTATTGTGAAGGACAAATCACTTATTGGAACTCTGAGCCTCTAATTGCCAACATCTGGATCATCACATAATCCCCCATATTCCTCAACCAAAATTTCATGTGCTTAGTCCTCTTGTCGAAGGTTGTAATTTGTTTGGTGCCATTTTATCAATTGATAAAACCTGAATTTGGAAAATATGTGGTTTCGAGAAATATCAAGACTTTGTTCTTCTTTTTCAGATGCAGACTTGTGTGAACCATGTCCAGAAGAATGGTATCCAAACAAGAATCAAGACAGTTGCATTCCCAAAGCCCTAAGCTACCTCTCTTATGAGGAACCCTTGGGCTCAGTACTGACTTGCTTAGCCCTATTCCTTTCCATGATCACTGTGGTGATGATGGGGACTTTCGTTCAGTACCGCCACACTCCCATGGTCAAAGCCAACAACTGGAGCATCACCTGCACCCTCCTCTCCTCTCTCCTCCTCTGCTTCCTCTGTTCCTTCTTCTTCATTGGACAGCCTGGAACTCTCACCTGCCTTCTGAGACAAATGGTGTTTGGCATTGTCTTCTGTGTATCTGTTGCTTGTGTCTTAGCCAAAACCCTCACTGTCATTGTGGCCTTCATGGCTACAAGGCCTGGACATGGGATGAGAAGATGGGTTGGGAAGCGGCTGGCAGGGTCAGTCATCATGGTGTCTTCTCTTATCCAAGCTGGCATCTGTGTGGTCTGGTTGATTATCTCTCCCCCCTTCCCTGAGTTCGACAAGCACTCCCAGCCTGACACAATCTTAGTTCAATGTAACGAAGGTTCAGATCTCATGTTCTACTTTCTCCTGGGCTACCTGGGGTTGTTGGCCATCCTTAGTTTCTTGGTAGCTTTCTTTGCCCGGAATTTGCCTGATGCTTTTAATGAAGCCAAATTGATCACCTTTAGCATGCTGGTCTTTTGCAGTGTTTGGGTGTCCTTTATGCCAACCTACCTGAGCACCAAAGGGAAATATATGGTAGTTGTGGAGATCTTTTCCATCTTGGCCTCCAGTAGTGGGTTACTGGGTTGTATCTTCCTTCCTAAATGCTACATTATAGTGCTTAGGCCTAAACTAAACACCAGGGAGCACTTAGTAAGGAAAAAGAATAGCTACCATCTGAGAGGCAACCCCCTCAATAAATAAACCCCTTCAAATTGAGGCATGGAAGGCAGGCTGCAAAGTGCAAACAACTTTGTACCAGAAAGCAATTAAAACGATAGGGACAATGTCTATTCATAAACATTTACTGCTTCCTTGCACAAAGATAAACCACAAAGTAGAAATTCAAGCTGCGAATTGCAATATGGGAGGTCTGCAATGCTTCAGATTTGTAATTCCTTCCTTATCCTGTTTCCCAGTCAACCAGAATATTGGTACTATTCAGTGAGTTTACTAGGAACTGCGAGTTGGAATTGTTAGATAAATATACAGAGTTTGTTAATTGCAGAGTGCAGCAAAAACTACTGCTGTAAGAAGAGTTGCAATAAAAATCCAAATACAAAAGAATTGTATGTGTGTTCTTCATAAGAAAGCGGTTTATTCCACTGAACCTGCTCTTCTTAAGTTCCATTTCTTAGGTGTTTGTTAACCTATTTCCTGGTCACCATGTATTCCAAGAAGAAGTACAATAATTAGAGATGGGTATGAACTGCTAAAATGGTGAACCACGAACCACAATTTCATCCCCGGTTAGCTGACGAACCATGGATCATTGCAGGGGGTGGCACAGAAAGATAGGTGAGCCACCAGGCTGGCCGAAGAAAATTCCCCCACCCCTTTGCAAAGACAGCCAGGGTGATTTCCTTTGGGCAGGCTTGCCCCATCTTCCTATGCCCCACAGATCAGCTGATCCATGGGGGCACAGGCAGAGACTGGGAAGCTGACAAATGGATATATATAAAAGGGGTATATTCATCTGTTCATATTTGTTGGGGTCTCCAGAACTCACAAATACAAAAGGATTACTATCCAACTAATCAGTGATATTCAATGAATATCACAATTCGTTTTTATGTTCATCCCTGTGTCTAACAGAAATAGATGAAATCCTTCTTTAAAAAGAAGTTTAGAATATGTTATGGTTTGTCCTTTGGTCCCACTTTTCTTTCAAATAAATCATGATATTTGTGTAACTTTGAAACGGGTGAAATGTATTGCAGTATTTAACAGGTAACCGGTATCAACGAAATTGTCCCATAACTTCTTTCCTGTTGACAACGGGTCAGGCAGGGGTTTCCAACCTTCAACAAAAAAGGGTTCCCTTCTGTCACGTTCCATGGGGCCGGCTAGTCTGTCGATGTGCCTAGTTTCACTATCTGCCCATCTTCTCCCTCCAATAAGGGTATGGTGTTTGTTCCACCTGACACGTCCAGTCGATATAGGGGTCACCCAGGGTCCTCCCTGTATTCTTTCCTCCTCATCTCATTCACCCTGCACTCTAATCTCTCCCTCCTCTCTCTTTCCACTCTCTCCTTTTCTTCTCTTAACTTCCTCCGCCATTCTCGGGCTTCTGCTTCCTCCTAATAAGAGGGTCTTGGGGGAATCTCTCTTCTCCTTCTGTAGTTAGCCTCCTCCTTAGGTACTCTTAGTCTCTCCCAAGTTCCTGTCCATGAATCCTCCATCAAGACCCATTCCCAACCTGTAGGCAACTGTCCTTCTTTCCTTCTTATCTCTGCTGTCCCCACCTCTCTCTCCACCTTCTGTCTCCGCTCGGTTCCTGCCAACCTTTCTTGAGTTACCTTGACTGTTAGCCCTTGAATCTCTCTTTCCAAATCCTGAGTGTCTGTCCACCGTTGTTCTGTTTTCTTAGGAAGTGAAGTGGGTAGCGTCTGCATCTCTTTCTCAACAGTGTGGGGGAGGGATGGCACTCCAGCCAGAGGGTTACTACTCTCATCCCCTGTCTCACAGAATAATTCTCAAACCAGTTTCCTCTGAAAGATCATCAGGGACAGAGGGAGGAAGTGCTACATCGTAGGTGTTACTAAAGAGAAAGCCCTTTCTCATGCACTTAACAGCCTAGGCCTGTGGGTTGATGAGTCTTTCAACAAGGCTTTTTTTGAAGATCACAGATTCAGAGTAGGTGCATACGGTAAGAGGTGATTTTTCAGATATGTTGACCCTAAGACTTTCAGGACTTTAATGGAGCTCTAGAAGAGTTGGGAAGGAAATGTATTTGAGTCATAACTGGCAGCAAAGTGCATGCTAGACAGCAGTCTTACTCCCACATTTGGTGCTTCATTTACCTTTCCAACACTGTTTAGGAGTGATCTTGGGTAGGGCACGCTGCATTAGTCTGATGGACAAGTAATTCAAACAGGGGCAAAGTGGCCAAATCTCCCTGGCCTTCTGTTTGCAAGACCTGAACAAGATTGTTAATGAAAGGACCATTTGAGGCTCACTACTAGTCTGTAAAGTAAGTAAGTGGTGCCCCGCATAGCGATGTTAATCCGTTCCGGATTAATCGTCACTATCCGGAAACATCGCAATGCGGGGGGGGAACCCCATAGAAATGCATTAAACTTTGTTTAATGCGTTCCTATGGGGTGAAAACTCACTGTTATGCGAAGATCCTCCATAGTGCCGCCAGTTTCGCTGCCTCGGTAAGCGAGGGCAGTGTGCAAAAATGCTTGCGGTGGCCATTTTGGGCACCCGGCGGCCGTTTTGGAACCGCCGATCAGCTGTTCCGCAAACATCGCAATGCGAAGATCGGTAAGCGAAACACTTACTGATCATCGCAATGCGATGTTTTGCCTATTAAAACATCGCAATGTGATCGCATTAGCAATCTCAAAAAATAGATTGCTATGCAGATTCGTCGTTAAACGGTGCACTCGTCATGTGAGGCACCACTGTATAGGCTGGAACTGACATGATGGCAATGTCACAAGAACCAGCTAATAAGCTCCATTAAGTTCAATGAACCTTCTTGAAATTTGATCCTGTCTCCATCTATCGCTTTGTATGGAAATAATTCACTATATTTTTTTCAACCTTTGAGTTTTTCAAACAACAGCAACAATTATCTACCCTGTAGTTAGCATCATCCTTATCACCAGGCACCTGCAGCCCCAGGAGACAGAACATCACAAAGACAGATGAACCCTCCTCAGAAGCCAGTGCTGTACTCCATCTATAAAGACTTCTTTTAAAAAATTGCTTGTTAAACACGATTTCTGTTTCGATGGAAGATCAATGGAAGACAATCCAGGCATTAGACAACACCTTAAAGACTGGCCAAACTGCACTTTCTGAATCGGGAACATTTCTCTTCTCTATGCTAGTCAATTTACCTTTTCCTCAAGGAGGTCAAGAGCTGATTTGAAGAAAAAGGAACTTGACTGTCTTGCAACTCTGGGTTTCTGCCAAACAGAATGTGTCCATGTGTGGCCTGGAAACATGATGGGGCAGGAGTCCCACAGACATCATTGCTTCTGTTCCTTTTCATGTTTCAGCTCTCTCATATATCCAGAAATGACTCGAACAAGGGAGGCGTTGGGCAAAAAAAGGTTCAGAGGGAATTTCACCGTTTACAAGAGGATGTTCTGATTGGTGCCTCTCTCTCTTTTCATCTGCCTTTCTTGAATCAGCTTTCTTTTAATCAACGTCCTTATGACACATTACGTGGATAGTAAGTACATCTTTCCACATGTACGTATACATACATGTATAGCAAACCAGCAGGACTAAGGGAGAATTCTTATTGGAGGTGCTCATGAAATTATGAGATGTTGCTTTCTCCACTGAGATCCTTTGAATCCTTGATCTATGGAAGCAGAAGGTGGTGGTTGCCTGATAGAGTGATTCATTGACTGATTCTTTTAAAGGTCCTCCTTTTCCCTCTGGCTGACTCAAGGCTGCTTATGATGTAAATCTAGAAAACAGAGGCTGCTAAAAATTACAATAACTTACCGTGTTTTTCCATGTATAAGACACCCCCATGTATAAGACCCCCCCCACTTTTCTCACCCAAAATTAAAAAATCTAAGGGGGGCTTAACAAGTGGAGGGGAAAGCATGGATCAAATCCCTGCAGGATCACTTTGATCCTTGCTTTCCCCTCCACTTGTCTTTGTTCTCTCCTCATCTTACTTCCATGTATAAGACAACCCTCAACTTTTAGTCTAAAGATTTTAGACAAAAGTATAGTCTTATACACAGAAAGATATGGTACATTATTCAAAGTCTATCAAATAGATTACTAAGACAAAACATATTTTAAATTGATGTTTGTTTAAAACTCATTTGAAAACAAAAAATAACCCAACCATGAAGACTCTCTACACCATCAGTTGGTTAATAATTACAGGCAGGCCGTTGTATGACAAAGAAGGGATAGGAAGGAGGGGGGCCAGTCTGGCTTTCCTTGGAAGAAGTTCCATATCCTGGAAGGAGCCAGAGAGAGCACTCCCTCTCTCTTGTGTGTGCCTGTGAACAGATGGCCACCTACGACTGTCCAGATATTGCAGCTCATCTCATGTGCCCGTCATCCAAAAAACATAACCAATGGCCAGGAATAATGGAAGCTGTAGTCCAGAAAATGAAGTAGTGAAAAAGTTTCCTGCTGGCTAGATAGCTCAATGAGTTCAGTATGATTGTGGGAGTATGTTTCCCCACAAAGAGCCAGCCTGTGTAACTTTGGGCTACACAGTCTCAAGTCACTACCAGAAGAAGGGAATGATAAATCACATTTGAGTTCTATACAGATAGAAAATTCTGGAAAGGGTCTCTATAAGTTACAATTGACTTGACAACATGTAATTTTAAAAATTGCAGCCTTTCCCACCCCTTCCCAAGTCACTGAACTATGGTGAAGTAAAGATTCATCTCCCAGTTTTTGCCTGAGGGAGAAGTCAGGAGGACCAATATTAATCCCATGTGGTCCATAAGCCAAAGGCGTGACAATTTAATCTGTCTCAAAATGGAGACATGGTGTTCTTGGTTCATACTATAATTCTGTTGGGAGGTAGTGATTCACGTAGCAGAACCTTACACAAGTAATAATAAAAAATATCAATATTTCCTGATAGGTAACAAGCCTTTAAGAGAGAAACTCTGACCCTCCTTTACTGTTTGAGAAATTACAGAGGAAAGGTTTTTAGTGTATGGCGTATTATTTCCTGTTTGTTGTACCTTAGCCCAGTTATGGGTTTGTTGCCTCTGTTATCATAAGAGCAACTAAGGAAGTGGATTTGAAATGACATCCCGTATTTTTCCGTGTATAAGACTATACTTTTGTCTAAAATCTTTAGACTAAAAATTGAGGGTTGTCTTATACATGGAAATATGCTGAGGAGATAACAACAACAAACGGAGGCATCAAAGGGATCCTGCAGCGCTTTGATCCCTCAACAAACGGAGGGATCAAAGGGATCCTGCAGCACTTTGATCCCTTTTCCCATACACTTGCTAAGCCCCACTTTGATTTCTTAAATTTGAATGGGAAAAGTGGGGGGGGGTATCTTATACATGGGGGCGTCATACACGGAAAAATACGGTAACTGCTTAGGACTCATAGAAGCAATGGAACATGAGCTAGCCCTAAATTTGATTTTAGTTGTTCAGCTCTAAGGATATACAACATTAAATCTATTTAAAAATCAGTCAGGCACACATTAATTGAAGTGATGTGGTGACAGTGATGAGTCAGTCCCATGACTTTGTGAAAATTTCATTGCAGCCTACTGCTAAAATATTACCACCAGATCCTTACTGTTGCCTTCGCAGTGGAAGAGATCAACAACAATGGCTGCCTCTTACCCAATCACACGCTGAAATATATCCCCACTGACACTGCTTTCAACGAAATGGGGAGATGTTCGGGGACTATGGATCTTCTTTTCGCAACACATGGAAATCCTCTGAACTACATCTGTGGCAGTAGCAATATGTTACTGGGCATCATCGGTGGGCTTTCTTCTCAAAACTCCAAGCAGATGCCTATCATCTTGAATGTCTATAAGATTCCACAGGTATGCTTTGTTCTCTGAAAAAAAATAAGGGGTTCATCAAGAAGATGTAATTTGTTCTTGCTACCTATTTGGTGCCTTCAAGTTGGTGAGGCTCAGGTGCTCCTCTGTGACATTTCATTCAACACAAATCCTAATTCAATTCTTCAAAAAAGCCCTCTGTTTATGAATGTGGGACCTTTCCCTTCTGTACACTCCTCTGTGACATTTCATTCAACACAGATCCTAATTCAACTCTTCAAAAAAAAAACCCTCTGTTTTATGAATGTGGGACCTTTCCCTTCTGTATCCACAATGCAAAATGTCATCAGGAGGAAAAGGGATAATCAGGAGCAGCAGCAACACTAGTAACAACAGTTTAGCAGAGATAAGAAGCTTTAGATTCTAGGGAAAAATTGTACTAGTGAAAGGGTTAAAGTTAGTACAAATTTACAACAGTGGTCGCTCAAGACCAACACATAGGGAGAAATTTGACTGTGAGTTGCCCTCCCACCTCAATCCACACATCACCCATACTTCATGCCTTACTAACTCTGTGGTCCAAATTTCCTTCTCTCAAAAAAATATGGAGCTGCCTCCTATGGGTTCCTGCTTCTAGAGGGTAGTTAATGTCTTCTTTAACTTGACCAGACAGCATCACCACCAGGAGACCAAGATCCTTGAGAATATTTTGTAGGGAACAAATCCAATTGGTTCAGGTTTCTGTCTTGCCCAGAACTTGGAGGGACATCATAAAAAAAATTCAGAAAATGTTAGACTTTAGTAGGAATCCTAAAACTACTTTTGTTCTTCTCTTCAGCTTGTTTATGACTCGTTTGACTCAGCTTTGCAAGATAAAGTTCAGTTCCCTAATGTTTATCGAATGATTCCTAATGAGCATCTCCAATATGCAGGGATCATCCAGCTTCTGAAGCATTTTGGATGGAGTTGGCTTGGCCTGTTTGTTTCTGATGATGAGAGTGGAGAAGCGTTACTGAGGATCCTCCTTCCTTTGCTACTGGAAAGCGGTATTTGTCTTGCTTTTAGGGAAGTCATCCCACAACTGAAGGAGCACTGGGAAGGATACAGAGAAGGAACATTACAGCTTAAGGGTAAATTGGAAAGACTTAACACTCTTCTCTCAACAGCAGAAACCAGGGTGATTCTTGCTCATGGAGACTTACGGTCTATGGAGGCGTTGCGGATGGTTCTGTATGTCAGGGAGTTTGACGAAAAGAAGCCCATAGAGTGTGTTTGGATCATAACAGCTCGGTGGGATTTTACCACAGTATTTTACAGCCAAGTATTTACCCCAAAGTCCTTCAATGGCACCTTGTCCTTTACGCTTCACACAAGTGATGTGGCAGGATATGCGCAGTTCCTGAAAACACTAACTCCAGATCAATCTAAGCTGTATCACATCCATACTTTTTGGGCCACTGCTTTTCTCTGCTCCCTGCCCCAGTTTAATGTCTATCCAGACAACTGTACCGGTGAAGAGGCATTAAGTGACCTCCCTGAACATATGTTTGGAACCAGAATGCCTGGCCAGAGTTACAGTGTCTATAATGCTGTTTATGCCATAGCGTATGCTGTCCATGCAATGCTTTCATCCAGATCCAGGCAGAAGGCTTTGGGAGGTGAAGGCAAGTGGAAGCTTCAGAATGTCAACCCATGGCAGGTAGGAGAGAGAACTCCATGCTCAGTCCCTGCTATAAAGACCTACAGAGGTGTGTATAGGCAAACACAGGAAGAATGCTCTTTCTTAACCCATCTGCCACATGTTCATGGAAGAAGGGTAGCTGTAAATCAGTGGCGTAGGGGTAAATTTGTGAGTGCAGATGATGATCTGTGCTATTCAAAAAAAAAATCTGGGTCTACACGCTGTGGGGCCTGGCTCTTCCAGAGCTCTGCTTCAAATGAAAGTGTGGCAGAAAAAAAGGGTAAGTCTTTCTCTCTCTCTTGGCTTCATTCCTGTTTTCGCCCTTCTTGCCATATTTACAGTTAGGTGTGCAAATGGGTGGATATGGAATAAACTGAAGAGTTCTCCTCCAGATGCAGTTGGATGTATAAACCAAGATCGCCAACAATGTGCATATCCTCAAATCCCTTTTCTTTGCATTCACTTGGTTGATGGGTCAATGAACAGGGTAAAATTCTCAATATCTGAAGCAATCCCTCATGGTGGATAACAGTGGCCAAAAATCCTTTGCCCAGCAGTAACTCAAAGTTGTGTAAAGGATGATCATTCTGGCTGGATTTGACATGTCAAGGTAAACCGAAGTCATGAATTTGGCTATGAACTCTGTTGTGTGCCCAGAGGCATGACATACACAATGAGAATCCTCTCCTATGGTTCACAATTTGTGGTTGTTTCAAAGCACAGTAGTGCCTCGCTTTATGCTTACCCCGCATTACGACGGATCCGCTTAACGTTGAAGGTTTTGCGATCACAAAAGCGATTGCAAAATGATGGTTTGAATGGGGGATTTTCGCTGTGTAATGATCGGTTCCCTGTTTTGGGAACCGATTTTCTCTTCCCGATGATCAAAACAGCTGATCATCAGGTTTTCATAATGGCTGCCGGATGCTCAAAATGGCTCCCCACTGTGTTTAGGAGCCATTTTTCGCTGCACAGGCACCCGAAAATGGCCGCGCCTATGGAGGATCTTTGCTGGACTGTGAGTTTTTAGCCGATTGGAACGCATTAACCGGGTTTTAATGCGTTTCAATGGCTTTTTTATTTTTGCATTACGACGTTTGTAATTAACGTCGTAATGCGAGGCACCACTGTACTAAAAATTCAAAATTACGAGCTGAAATCATAGCAGCTGTAGTTCATCTTTCTCTTGTTTCCTTAAGATGGTAAGTACTTTGTCCCATATGAAGTTATGCCCATTTGTCAATGATAATGCACACTTAATGCACAGAATTATCCTTCTCTCGCTCCCTTCAACCTTCCCACTTCCAGAGCCTTGATCAGGGTTGTATTTCTCATCTCTGGTTATAATTCACAATTGTTTCTCAACTCTTGGGTTTAGCTTCATCTCTTCCTAAAACGCATCCATTTCAATAATAGTGCTGGAGAAGAAATATACTTTGTTGAAAATGGGGAAGTGGCAATTGGATATGATATTATCAACACAGTCACATTTGCCAATCTGTCCATTCAAAGAGTCCAAGTTGGAAGGATGAACCCCCAGGCTCCTGCTGGAAAAGAGTTCACCATCCATGGAGGTGACATCGTCTGGAACCACAAGTTTAACCAGGTTCAAAAGGGGATTATATTCCTTCACTTCTCACAGGCATAAGTAAAGAAGAGAATTGGGTTGGTTACATTCTGGGAAATTCAGAGATTATCCAGACCATGTTGGTGAATCTAGCTGAGACATTGATAATTTTGTCAGAAAAAAAATGAGTTTCTTTTGATGGAACGTGGCGAATATATAAGCCATTTATTTGGTCTTAATGCAAATCATTAGTTGCCCATCCAATTCTGGAATAAGGACGCAAGACGACAAAGTTGGATTAAATATAGGCCACACTTTATTGATAATAAATGATATCAGCCAATCAATCCAATTATAAGGGGCCTGCTGTAGTGCGGAAAAGGTGATAGGTAGGGGTAACCAAACCCCTAGATCATAAATTGGGTGAGTCCCCGACCCCCAGGTTCCAGCGGTCTACCAGACCTCCAGACATCTTTACTTGATGACTATTGGTCCAGAAGTGGCCCAGCGCATCCTTCCCGAACCGGCCCTGTGAACACACGATCCACAGAACCGGTAGGTTTGATGTTCTGTTGGCTAAGATGAAATTACAATTGGACACACCAAAAACACCTATTTTTTCTGCACTACACACCAGTGTGACCAAAATGCCACCGAAAAAGGGGGGCCAACAACCCTTCTCCAGTGTGGGATAGGTGAAAAATCCCGCCACCCAACGGCCAATCAGAATGAAGTTCAAAAATTCCTATCCGGCCCCAAAATTGGTGACCAAAAATCACACTAGAAATAGGGAGAGCGGGTGAGTGCCTGAAATGAAAGAAGGCAAACACGTGGAAGCGCGTCCTTAAATCTCTGCGCTTCCACACCCTTTGCTAACATGTGATAGGTTGGTGGGCAAATCCCAGCCACGCCCAATCCTGGCCATTGTAACAGCTGTCAAGCAGCTGGAACCAATGTGAAAGTTCAGGGTCTATTCAGGAGAGAAAGTGTTAAATGAGATAATTCAAGAGGTCAAGGAATAAGATGGACCACCAATCACTACAGACCTTGAAGAAGGCGATCAGTTGTGCTAACAGAGATAAGGCGATACCTGATGCTTTCCACTCTGTAACCTTCATCTTATTGACAGAAACCTCCTCAATCCACATGCGTTGAAGAATGTCATCCTGGACAGAGCAAGATGGCTCGTCAGGGGGCACAGAGCTGTTGTTACGATTGCCCACAATGCTCTGAAGGAATGATTTCAAATCAGAAAGGTAAGCTGAAATTGGGCAAGGACAGAGGGAAGGCGATGGCATTCTAAAACAACTCTGTGAGGTAACCATGCCGAATCAGCATGGATCAGACTTCCTGGTTCTTCTTTGCATCCATTCTCTCTGCCTTTTCTCTCGGTGCTCAACCATCCTTCTACTGTTAGGGGAACCATGAAAATCATTTGTATCTGTGCAGAGTGGAAAAGGAGTTTTGCTTTTATGGTTGGTAAGGTTAGTAGGATAAAAAAAAAGAAAGAGAAAGACAATCTCTCCCATCTCTTCAACATTGATAAAGGTGTGACTTTATCAGTGTTTCTCAGCCTTCGGTCCCCAGATATTTTTGAACTACGCTCCCAGAAATCTGGGATAACACAGTTAGTGGCGAAGGCTCCTGATGAACACACCCCAAAAACCCTCATTATATATAATCGGTGTGCACAATTGTGACTTGAAAGCAGTAACAGTAGCGTATATTCTCCTGGATGTGTCTAGTCTGTCTTTTTTTCATCCCACAACATTTACGCCATTTTAGTTAAGGGTCAGGACTGGGAAATTCTCCATCCAGATGCTTTAGATTCAGTTGTCCTGGCCAGTACAGCTGGGCACAAAGTACTACTTTCGCAGTTTGTCTCGGCTCATTTACCGCCATAATGGGCATTCAGCGGTTTGGCACACTGCCCTCCTCCAGCAGGCACCAATTCAGAGTCAGTGGCCGGAGAATGCATGGTAGGGAAGTCAGGACGCTGTCTCTAAGGGGGCAGCTGCTGGAGAGGGGTGATGTTCTGAACTGCCAAACACCGATCATATCATTAAACAAACTTGCCCATCTCTAGTGGTTAGTAATAAGGTGACTGTGAAATTTAGGGTCCCCAAACTCTGGAGGGATCTGAAGAGGACATATAGGCATTCTGGAAACATAATATCTTTTCTTCTGACTTTCAGATGCAGAATACTGCAACAAATGCCCCGAGGAGCAATATCCAAATCACAATCAAGATCAATGCCTCCCCAAAGTGATCGACTATCTGTCCTTTAAAGAGCTCCTGGGGATCATTTTGACATCTTTTGTTCTTTTCTTTTCTTTGATCACCCTTGTGGTGCTGTGGAGCTTCCTTTGGCATCGGAACACTCCCCTCATCAAAGCCAACAATAGAACCATCACCTACATCCTCCTCTTGTCTCTTTTGCTTTGCTTTCTGTGCTCTCTTCTGTTTCTTGGTCAGCCCGGGATGGTGTCTTGCCTTTTCCGGCAAGCCTTCTTTGCCATCACATTCTCTGTGGCTGTTTCTTCGGTCCTGGCAAAAACCATCACCGTAGTTGTGGCTTTCATGGCTACCAAGCCCGGCAATCGGATGAGGAACTGGGTAGGGAAGAGGCTGGCGGTATCCGTCATCATTCTCTCATCTCTCATCCAAACTGCCCTTTGCATTATGTGGCTGGCCACTTCTCCTCCTTTCCTGGAACTGGACATGCGCTCCCAAGTGGGTCAGATCATAATGCAATGCAATGAAGGCTCTGACATGATGTTCTATGTTGTCTTAGGCTACCTGGGGCTCCTTGCCTTCATCAGCTTCACAGTTGCTTTCTTCGCCAGGAAGTTGCCTGATGCTTTCAATGAAGCCAAGCTGATCACCTTCAGCATGTTGGTGTTTTGCAGCGTTTGGCTGTCCTTCGTCCCCACCTATCTCAGTACCAAGGGGAAATACATGGTGGCCGTGGAGATCTTCTCCATATTGGCTTCTAGTGCTGGATTACTGGGTTGCATTTTTCTCCCTAAATTCTACATTATAGTCCTGAGGCCTGAACTGAACACCAGGAACCAGCTAGTAAGAAAACAACATGTTATTACTTAGGACTTTTAATGTTCGCTTCTTCTTCCTCTTCTGCCTCCTGTTCTAAAGTTTAATAAGAAGGCAAACCTATGGACAAAGTCTTGTTAACCATTATATCAGTAAAGAATTGAGAAGTACTGGAAACAATAAATATGCTTGTACGTGACTTTGTTCTTGAAGCCTGCCTTGTATATTTTTCATAATTGTTTATTTGGCAAATAGAGTATCTTAACTTATACCTTCTTCTATCTCAGCAAAAACCATCACCATGGCTCTAGTGTTTATCTTGCTTTGTTCGTATTCTAACCAAGCCAGCTTACTCTTTTGTAATATAGAAGCAGTACCATTTCACTTTAATGATTGTGTGAACTGTTTTCCTTCCTTGAAAGCTTCTTTTTCTCACCTTGTGGAAGTGTGTGCTTTTGTTCTATGTGCACGGCAACTTTTGGATATGATCCCTTGTTCCTGTGTAGACATTCGAATCTTGGTGCAGGTGCATCAACAGAGATACAGTGGTGCCTCGCATAGCGAGGTTAATCCGTTCCGGATTAACCTTCGCTATAGGGAAACATCGCTAAACGGAATAAGCGATGTTTCTCCATAACGCCGCCATTTTCGCGCCCTCAGTAAGCGAGGGCAGGGCGCGAAAATGCGGCGCGGACCTTCTGGCGGCCATTTTGGAACCGCCGATCAGCTGTTCTCCCCCACTTCGTTATGCGATATTCGCTAAGCGAATCGCTTAGCGAATATCGCAAAGCGAAAAATCGCCATAGGGGCCATCGCTGAGCGAATGCTCCAGCGATGGCCCAGAGTGCCTCGTTAAGCGATTTCATCGCTCAGCGAGGCACTCGTTAAGCGAGGCACCACTGTACATGATAAAAAGTTGAATCATCAATGTTTCTTAAATAGCCTCTAGTTTCCTGGTAATTCATTATCTATCTTTTTTAAAAAAAAACAGTGAGCTTCAGGTAGCACACACATATCCCCTTCTCCTCAGCTCATCTTCAGAAGAATCCTAAGGGTTAGTGTAACCTCTGCAGGCTTTATGGATCATCCCAGTGGATGGTGAAATCTTTAGAAAAGGTCTATAACTCTCAGTCTAGAAAACAAGAGGGAATGAGTGCTTAAAATGCTCTCCATGGTGTCTCAGTGAAGAGCATCCCATATGTTTTTTAGCATGTTTCCTTAATATTGACTTGAAAGCATTCATTCTTAATATACTGCAGACTGTGATATTTACAGTGGTGCCTCGCTAGACAATTACCCCACATTACAGTTTTTTCGCTAGACATTGACTTTTTGCAATCGCTATAGCGATTCGCAAAACAATGATCCCTATGGGGGAATTTCGCTGGACCATGTTTGGTCCCAGCTTCACAAACCGATTTTCACTAGACAATGATTTTGTCAGCTTCCTCCACACTCGCAAAGAAGGTGTTTTCGGGACCTAAGTTTCACAAGACAGTGATTTAAACAGCTGATCGGCGGTTCGCAAAGAGGCTTTCCTATGGCCAATCTTCGCTAGACAATGACGATTCTTCCCCATTGGAACGCATTAAACAGGTTTCAATGCATTCCAATGGAGAAATGCTTTTCGCTAGACAATTATTTCGCTAAACAGCAATTTCAGTGGAATGGATTATCATCGTCTAGCGAGGCACCACTGTACAGGGAACTGCATCTATCTGGACTGTTATTTTCAGATAAAAAAATTTTCCCACTGTACACACCTTGATCTCAACAACATGCCGAGACAGGAATGTGTAGGCCCTCCTGCTTTCTCCTCACGAAGAGTGGTTTGTCTCAAGAGAAATTTGTTGACACTTGAACAAGATCCCTGGAACCTCAAGGTTCTTGCTCCTATACATAGAAAGGTAAAAAAAGGTAAAGGTTCCCCTTGACAATTTTGTCCAGTCATGTCCGACTGTAGGCGGCGATGCTCATCTCCATTTCCAACACATAGAGCTAGCATTTGTCGGCAGACAATCCTCCGTGGTCACGTGGACAGCATGACTAGACACAGAATGCCGTTTACCTTCCCACTGAGGTGGTACCTATTTATTTACTCGCATTTTTGCATTTTGCATGCTTTCAAACCACTAAGTTGGTGGGAGCTGGGACAAGCGATGGGGGCTCATTCCGTCGTGTGGATTCAATCTTACGACTGCAGGTCTTCTGACCTTGCAGCACAGAGGCTTCAGTGGTTTAACCCGCAGTGCCACCACATCGCCACTCCTGGTCTCCGTAGTCATCACATTGGTACAGCACGGCGCCTACCCCGGCCTTCGAAGTATCGATGTGGACGATGAATTCTTTATTTAAGTCTGGAGCATGCAACACAGGGCGATTGGTTGATGCTTCTTTTAGCTTTCCAAAAGCCACCTTGCAGTCATAGGACCATGGAACAAGGTCACTGGTCTTTTTTTTCATCAGCTCTGGATCATGTCGTTGTAACACTCCTTTGGCTACATCAGGTTTGCTGGAGAAAACCGGCCGATACTTATTAACCAATGTTAGATCACTCTGCTGTTCTATGAATAGAGCAGGGCTGATCTGCACCTCCCCTGAGATGAACTTTTGCTGACCCCTCCATTCCCAGAGAGGTATCTCATGTTTTCCTTTATCAGCTGCTTTCAATTCAAACACCACATTTTTTTCCCACTACAAGAAGGCTTAAGGGCATTTACATGAACAACCCTTTTGTCTAGGTGTTCATCAAGAATGTCATTGAGGTTACTCATTTCATGAATAACTCTATATGGACCGTACCATCTCAGTTGTAGATTGTTCCCCTTGATGGGCCTCACTAGAAAGACCTCATCTCCAGGAATAAAATGAAGTTCCCTAGCCTTTTTGTCATACCACAGTTGTTGTTTGACTTTTTGTGGTTTTAGATTCTCAGCAGCCAAATCTAGATTTCTTTCGAGGCTGTTTACCACAGAGTTTACACATGTAACCAGAAGAACCTTAAGCAGGAACCTCCTCTCTTCTGTTGCTGTCCACACAGAGAAGACAATGAAGGAGAAGGGAGAGTTTACATGTTTCTTTGTAAATGCATGGTCAGGGACCAAATAATTAACTGTAAACAAATAAAGGATGAAGTATATTTTTAATATTTTTATACAGTCTTTTGGCCTAGCTGGAAAAGAAAACGACTGTCTGGGTTTACTTACTACATGTCTTGATTATTATTTTTCTCAGTCTCGTTTTAAAGCTGGTCACCCAAATTGTGTCTTTGCTTACTTATATAATAGCTTTTCATTTAAATGCATATCATTTTTCAGGTGTAATGCAGATGATGTTATGGATGTATATTCATAACACGATCCTGGTCAAAATAACTACGTTGAGCTTAGGCCCCAAAAACACCTGTTTTGCGAGCGCAGAGGGAGCTGTCAAAATCGTCATCTAGTGAAAATCGGTTTGCGAAGCAGGGATCAAACATTGTCCAGCGAAATTCCCCCATAGGAACCACTGTTTTGCGAATCACTATAATGATCGCAAAAAGTCAATGTCTAGCGAAAAAACTGTCATGCGGGGTAACTGTCTAGCGAGGCACCACTGTATAAGTTATTTTTGCACGGATATTTTGTATTTCTGCTTCTCAAACAACTGATATTATCAAATGAGCATTTAAAGGTTGTCTTCTTTTTTTGCTTTATTTAACAGGCAATATATGCATATGCAAACCTATGCAACAAATACAAAAATATACTTCAAGATCAGTACAGAATTAATGTATAATGACATAGGTCTAAACTAAAGCTTCTTGAAACAGAGAGAAAGCTTGTACTTTGTGCAACAAAGCTTATCTTAAACACTTAACTTTAAAGTTCGAATCATACAAAATGGAATAGAAATGAATATGGATCAGAAGATTAATGATATCTCTCCGAGATTAAACTTTTGTTGCAAAATTCCAATTAACAGCATAAACTCTCTACAAGCAACATTAAATAAGCTTCAAAAAGGTTTTAAGATACAGAATTAATAACAAAAAAGAGAGAAAGCATAACATGACTTAGCATAGCAACAAATTAACAAAACAAAATTGTTATCTGTCCCCATCATAGACTGTCTATCAGTCACTCTATTTTTGTGACTCTCACAGCTTAGGCTTGTGAGAATTTGATGGTGTTTCATATTCTAAGCTTTTGATTATTTAACTTGATATAAAGCGATGGCTACCTGCTTATAATCAACAACTATAATTTCTTAGCAATTGTTTTGTTTACTTTTCTCACTTACTAGAGTTAGTGATAGCTAAAAAGCACTAATATAAACATCCATCACCCTTTTTTGCTTTCAACTGATTCATTCATATTTCCACCAATTATTCGTTAGATGGCAGAGGTGTATTTTGCAAAGAGGTGTGTTAACTTTCATAGGTCATCTCTAATTGATGTATTATATTTCTCCCCCCTTAATATTTATAAGCACATTTGACAGTGTAATTCTAGAAGAATCATTGTTGTATGGGCTCAGACAGGACTTACTCTTAGGGTGTTCTATAGCTCCTCTCCCTACCTCCAACTCTGACCATGGCAGTTTGTATTTCCTGTCCATTGGTAAGATGTATTTTGTTTAAATGGAGATCCAGAAGATGATAATGTCAGAGACTCGGGATAAAGTTGACTGGCACTGGAGTGGGAGCATGATTGGTATGTCATTTATTTGGATTTAGAGCAGATCAGGGCAGATTCTGCACACCATAACAGCATCATTTTGATTCTGCCTGCCATCCCAGTTCCTCATCAGCATAATTAGGCACAGATACATTAAATGAGTGATGACAAACCTCGACAGCATCTTAAAAAGGAGAGACATCACCTTGCCAGCAAAAGTACGCATAGTCAAAGCTATGGTTTTTCCTGTAGTGATGTATGGAAGTGAGAGCTGGACCATAAAGAAAGCTGAGTGCTGAAGAATTGATGCTTTTGAATTGTGGTGCTGGAGGAGGCCCTTGAGAGTCCCCTGGACTGCAAGGAGAACAAACCTATCAATTCTAAAGGAAATCAACCCCGTGTGCTCACTGGAAGGACAGATCCTAAAGCTGAGGCTCCAATACTTTGGCCATCTCATGAGAAGAGAAGACTCCCTGGAAAAGACCCTGATGTTGGGAAAGGGTGAAGGGAAGAGGAGAAGGAGATGACAGAGGACAAGATGGTGGGACAGTGTCATCAAAGCTACCAAAATGAATTTGACCCAACTCCGGGAGGCAGTAGAAGACAGGAAGGCCTGGTGTGCTCTGGACCACGGGGTCATGAAGAGACAGACATGACTAAACGACTAAACAACAACAACAACATTAAATGAGATCATGCATAGCCATAGTCTCCCTACTTTTTTCCAGTCACCTGCTTCTTAGTATTGAGATCTGGTCTTAATATTATAAGGTAGCATTTGGGAAGAAAGAGACAAAACAGTAAACCAGAACTGGAGGCTAAAATAGAAAAGATCTCCACAGCCACCATGTGTTTCCCTTTTGTAGTCAGGTAGGTGGGAACAAATGATATCCAAACACTGCAAAATACCAACATACTGAAAGTGATGAATTTGGCTTCATTGAAGCTGTCAGGCAGCCGCCTGGCAAAGAAAGCCACTATGAAGCTGGTGACCGCCAGAAGCCACATGTAGCCAAGGACAATGTAGAACATAAGGTCAGATCCCTCATTGCATTTCAATACAATCTGATCCCTCTGGTATTGCATGTCAGACTCTGGGAATGGGGGAGAGATTGCTAGCCACACCCCACAGATGGCAATTTGAATAAGAGAGGAGAGGATCACCACCGTCATGGCCAGCTTCTTCCCCACCCATCTCCTGATCTTGTTTCCTGGTTTCGTGGCCATGAATGCAAAGGCCACCGTGATTGTTTTGCCCAACACACAAGAAACTGCAGCGGAGAAGACCGTACCAAATACCGTTTGGCGGAGAAGGCAACAGGTTGTCCCAGGCCTGCCCAAGAAAAGGAAAGAGCACAGAAAACAAAGGAGAAGATCGGTGAGCAGAGTACAGGTGATGCTCCAGTTGTTGGCTTTGACGATGGGAGTATTCTTGTGTTGAATGAAAATGCCCATCACCGCCATGGTAATTAAAGAAAAGAAGAAGGCACCAGAAGACAAAATTATTCCCAGAAGTTCTTCATAGGATAAATAGGTCACCTTTTTGGAGAGACACCGACTCCGATCCTCATTTGGATAATGATCTTCTGGGCACTTCTCACATTCCAGGGCATCTACAATTCACCAAAAAGCCCTCAGTATTCACAAAATAGGTAGATGTCCCCGGCAATTTGGGGAGGATTTTCCAGTTCTGATTGCACACATATACAGCTTCTGTTACATGTGTGCATTCTCAATTCACTTCTTGTTTAATAATATGGCAGATATACTTTTAGTTTCTCTCAAACATATGTTAAATCCGTCATGAGCAGGCACATGCAATAAAACATTGAGGAAGTTTGAAAGCATTTAGAAAAGGATTATGAGAGATTAGAGGAGCAAGCTGTGTTACAATGGCTGCTAAAGCTGGGTAATTTGTGCTCTTTTGCAATGTAGCCTGAACTTATAGAGTTACTTTTTTAGTTACAGAATGTATCTACACCAAATGTTGCAGGAAGAATAACATATACATTCAGTGTAGACTCAGTCTGTCTCATGTCTGTGCCTTTGTATATTTTTAAAGTAATTTAAAAGTTACTTTTTAAAATCAGAAACCAGAGAGATACTTTTAAAAACTTGTAACTATAAAAAACTAACTACTTTCTTGTACCTAAAACTACTACTAACTATTTTTTAAAAGTAATTCTACCAGTGTATTCGTGAAGGCTTTCATGGCCGGGATCTAATGGTTGTTGTGGGTTTTTTGGGCTCTTTGGCCGTGTTCTGAAGGTTGTTCTTCCTAACATTTCGCCAGTCTCTGTGGCCGGCATCTTCAGAGGACAGCACTCTGTGCTCTGGTGTAGTTTGCTTGGGAGTGGAGTACTGGCAAGTCAAATATTGCCCAAGTCAACTCATGGGTAGTATGAATACAACTCAACTGGTTGTTCTATGCAATGACCACTACCTACTTGGCTTATCATATGAAGGTCAGCTTCACTGATTGTCTACACCTTCTGTAGCTTTCAGGTAAAAAAGGGCATTTACCAATAGTCAAAGATTTTTCTGACAAAGCATAGAAGTACAGTGGTGCCTCGCATAGCGAGGTTAATCTGTTCCGGATTACCCTTTGCTATGCTGAAGCATTGTTGAACGGGACAGGGAATTCCATTGGAACGCATTAAACATGTTTTAATGCGTTCCAAATGGGCCGAATACTCACCGTTCAGCGATGCTTCTTAATGGCCGGCAGCCATTTTCGCGCCCTCCTCTCGCTTAATGAGGGCGCAAAAACGCTGCACGCGGCCATTTTGGGCCATTTCTGGGCTTCCGGCGGCCATTTTGGCCGCCGAACAGCTGATCGTCGGGCTTCATTTTGCGAAGATCGGTAAGCGAAATGCTTACCGGTCTTCACAAAGCGAATTTTGCCCTATTAAAAAAACGTTGAGCGATCGCATTAGTGATCCAAAAAAACGGATCGCTATGCGATTTCGTCGTTATACGGTGCACTCGTTAAGTGAGGCACCACTGTAGTTTTCTTCGGTGTGGCAGAATCTCATTTCCTCTGTGGGTGGAAAATTGAAATCCTGATTTTTGAAACACAATGTAGTCTACTTAATCATTTTCACATTTGCTAGAACCCCCATTCCTAGCTAACCATTGTATTATGGGATACACACTTCCCTGACATTGTTGAAAATAATTTTAAAATGGCAGGAAAACCAAAGAGCCTATAACAGACATACTATTAAGTAACCATGTGGGAAAAAAACCTATATCCTGTTCTCTGTACGTCTGACTGTTTACCAGAAGCAGTCTGATAACTTATTTTGTTACTGAGAAAACTGATAGACTTCTTCTAGTCCTCAGTGTTAAACATTTGGAAGGTTCACCATGTAATCCTCTATTCTTTTTCTTACCCATGTGGACTGAAATCCTGCCCTCTGCACATTGAACACAATCATAGCAACATACATGTTTCCCTTGCTGAACAATCATGCTGTAACCAGGGTGGCAATTCTCAACACATCTGGAATGGGGTGGCACCTAATGGAGACCAGAGAGATAAATATGCATGATGGAAATAAACTCATTTCTCCTCCTTGCCTTGGTAACAAATTGGAACAAGTTCAGAGGAGGGCAACAAGGATGATCGGGGTTCAAGTTAAAGGAAGCCAGATTTGAATTGAATATCAGGAAAAACTTCCTAACTGTTAGAGCAGTATGACAGCGGAACCAGATACCTCGGGAGTTGGTGAGTGCTCCAACACTGGAGGCATTCAAGAGAAACTTAGACAACCACCTGGCAGATATGCTTTGATTGTATTCCTGCACTGAGCAGGAGGTTGGACTTGATGGCCTTGTAGGCCCTTCCAAATTCACTTTTCTATGATTCTATAATTCTCAACTTTATCCTTTGAATACAAGAATGTAGCAAGCTATCCCAAGCTATGGTAGGAAAAAAATGTTGCAGGATCTGGTAAAAGTTCACATCACGTAAGACATGTACAAAATCTTGCATAAGCTGAAAAAGAGTTCTTAGGCTTCCAGTGAAATGTGATGGGGAAATAAAGGAAAAGCAGGGGAAATAGCATCAATGCATGGGAAGCTGTGGTCTGCAGGAAGTCTCTGAAAAGCCATCATAACTTTCCTGCATGCAATTTCATTCTTTCTCCTTTTCAGATGGAAAAAACACAGAAATGCTGCTTCAGTAGCCTCTGTAAAGGAACTGATGTCATCTTTCTAGAGCTTAAGAAACACAATTGAATACATTATGGATGCCAGGGGAATATCTGAGGACATTTCCCAAGTTCACATCAGGGGATCTTGAAAGACTTTACTCTTCTCAACTTTTGGATGTCCAAAGATTATCAAAATGCCTTCAAAGAAAAGGGAAGGGAGCCTTAACCCAAAACTTGCCACTCACCTGTTTAAACCTGTGATTCCATACAATGGCACTTTCATTAATAGTGAACGATTTGTCTGCCAGGGCCTGGGAATACAGCCTTCCAACTCTGACTTTCTGGAAGGATTGGTTAGCAAATGCCACCAAGTTGAGGATGTCATACATAGTTGCCAGATTCCCCTTCTCACCAAAATAGATTTCTTCCCCAGCACTGTTGTTAAAGTAGATGTTTCTCAGAAACATGAGGAGCTAATTAAGAGGAAGAAGAACTGATCAATCATATCCTAAAGGCACTTGTTCGGTTGCCAGCCATTTCCATCTTTCAGACAGAGTTTAGAAATTGTGGACCATTATGAATGGTATGTAACAAAGGTCAGGCCTAACTGAAGCCACCTTCTCTGTACAGTGAATACAGTACACTGTATATTCTGTGTCTTAGAATAACCTTTCATTCACCTGCCAAAATAGATTCTAGTACATGAAATTTTCAGTCCCAATAAACGTGTTAGTTTGAAAACACAGGTGTGCAGCTTGGAGGTGGTCCTGGATTCATCTCTGAGCATGGATATTCAAGTTTCTGTGTCGGCCAGGAGTCCCTTTCCACAAATAAAACTAGTGTGCCAGCTGGACTCACTCCTGCAGAGGTCTAACTTGGCCACGTGACGCATACCTTAGTTACATCTCAGCTGGATGACTGCAGTCCACTTTATTTGAGACTGCCTTGGAAAGTGTCTGGAAACTGGAGCAAGTCAAAAACATAGCAGCCAGATTGCTGACTGGGGCTGGTTACAGTACTCACAGACCTCCACCCCGTTACACCAGCTCCACTGGCTGCTGATCTGTTTCTGGATCAGAATGAAATTTAACAGGGATAACTGCAAAGTTTTACACCTGAGGCAGGGGACACCCAATGCACAGTTACAAGATGCAGGACACTTGACTGAGTAATACTATGAGTGAGAAGGATCTTGGAATTGCTGCAGACCAAAAGCTGAATATGAGCTAACAGTGTGAGGTGGCTTCAAAAAAAGTCAAATGCATTAACAGAAATATAGCCTCCAAATCCCATGAGATACTGTATTTGCCAGCGTACAAGATGACTTTTTGGCCCTGAAAAACATGCCTCCAAGTGGGGGTGTCATCTTATATACCGGGTGCACTTACAGCAAACCCTCCCTCTCTCCCAGCAAAGTCTACTTACCTGGTAGTAAGACAGAATAGACCGAGCCCGCTCCTCCTTGGTAGCCTGGGAACAGCCTGACTCTAGCACCAAACAGCTGACTGTCGGGAACCAGCAGAGAGGTGGCAGCCATTTTGAGATGCGACCACATGGCTGCTCCGATGCTGTCCTTCTTCCAGCAAACCCTCGCTCTCTCCCAGCGAAAGGAACCCAAAGCGGCAAAATGAACTCTCCCCATGATGCAGCCAAAGCAGAATCACCCATGCGGAAGAGGGGGTAGTCTTATACAACAAATATATAACAAACTCTACATTTTGAGTGGAAATGTTGGGGGGGGGTCGTCTTATACGCTCAGTCGCCTTATACACTGGCAAATACGGTACTAGTCCCTCTCTATTCAGGACTAGTTAGCCCTCATCTAGATTACTGTGTACGTCGCACTTTAAGAACGATGCCAACAAGCTGGAACAAATTCAGAGGAGGTCAATAAAAATGATCAGGGAACTGGAAACCAAGCCTTATGAGGAAAGACTAAAAGTACTGGACATGTTTAGCCCTGAGAAAAGAAGACTTGGGGGAGATATGATAATACTTGAAAGGTAGTCATACAGAGGAGGGGCAGGATCTGTTCTCGATCATCCCAGAGTGCAGGACACTCAACAATGGGCCCAAGTTACAGGAAGTGAGATTTTGACTGAAAATTAGGAAGAATACTTCCTAACTGTTAGAGCAGTGTGACAATGGAACCAATTATTTTGGAGGCATTCAAGAGAAAAATTGTACAACCATATGTGAGATCTGCTTTGATGCGGATTCCCACATTGAGCAGGGGGGTGTGTGGACTCGATGGCCTCATAGGCCTCTTCCAACTGAATTAGTGTATAATTCTATGAAATAATTGAATTTTGTGCTTGCCTAAGGTTGGTATCAGCAGAAAACAAGAAGTTTATCGCAGTTCAACTTCCACTCTCAGGAATACTTACATACCTGCCAGGGCTGAAAGTTTAACCAGTTTCTGATCCGCCTTGCTTTAGCAATTGATGAATGCATAGCATGGAGAGCATGTGCCAGAGCATAGACTGCATTATAAATACTGTAGCTCTGCCCAGACATTCCCATTTCAAACACAGTTCCAGGCAGTCTACTTAGTTTGTCCTCTTCAGAGCAGTTACGTCTGCCTGGCCGATTCAGATTATCCATTGGGAATGAACAGAGAAAGGAACTCCACCAAAACTGATGAAGAAAATAAATCTTAGCCTGGTACGGGCTGATATTCTCCAGAAAGTCCTGAAACCCTGGCACCACATTTGTATGCAGAGCAAATGATAAGGTGCCATTGAAGGATTTTGCTGTGAACTTCCGAGAGGGAAAAACAGCTGTGACATCCCACTGGGACGTTATAATCCACACCTTCCCCATGAACCTGTTCTGGCCAAATTCGCAATTTTCAAGAATTAGCCGCAAGCCTTCCATAGAGTAAACATCCCCATGGGCAAGGATCACATTAGAATTTGTTGACCAGAGAACGAGTATGATGCTAGTCAGTTTTTTCTGAAGGGAAGTTGACATGTAATCGGTCACGGTGGGAATCGTTTGCAGGAAAGAAATGCAAATGTCACTCTGGGTGAGGATCGCACTGAGATCTCGGAAAAATCTTTCTCCATTGTCATCATCTGAAAAGAGGAGGCCGATCCAATTCCATCTAAAATAATGCATCAGCTGAACAACCCCAGTGTACTGAGAGTTTTCATCAGGAACCATCCAGAAGAAAGAAGGGAACTGAGTTTTATCACTCAAGACTGGGTCGTAATATCCGTAACTGAGCTATCCAGGAAGGAAAACACATTTATTTCACATTCATTTATGGCACAATGTTTAAACTGCAGTACTACAGTCAAGACTCTGCTCTAACAACCTGGGTTCAGTTTCAGGTAGCCAGCTCAAGGTTGACTCAGCCTTCTATCCTTCGAAGGTTAGTAAACTGGGTACCCTCCTTGCTGTAGGGGGGAGCAATGGGTAGCCTGCATAATAAATTGTAAACTGCCCAGAGAGTGCCTGAAGCACTACGGGGCAGTATACAAGCAGCACGTAAAAGGTAAAGGTAAAGGTTCCCCTTGACAATTTTTGTCCAGTTGTGTTCGACTCTAGGGGGCAGTGCTCATCCCCGTTTCCAAGCCATAGAGCCAGCGTTTTGTCCGGAGACAATCTTCCGTGGTCACATGGCCAGTGCGACTTAGAAACGGAACGCCGTTACCTTCCCACCGAGGTGGTCCCTATTGATCTACTTGCATTTGCATGCTTTTGAACCGCTAGGTTGAAGGGAGCTGGGACAAGCGACGGATTCGATCTTACGACTGCTGGTCTCCTGACCCTACAGCACAGGCTTCTGTGGTTTAGCCCACAGCACCACCACGTCCCTCATAGCGCCACCATGTCCCTCACACTTCTTTTTTATTTTAAGGGGTGATGGAATGGTGGCAAATTCATTTCTTCCTTTTGTCATAATGCAACCTGTTAAACAATGTAACTAGATGGACTCCTTTAAAATGTGACAATTAAATATATTACATAAGAAAAACCTTATGATTAGAGTTGTTACTTGCCATCAAGACACTATTGGGTTGTGGTGACCTTGGTAGGGTTTATAAGGCATGTATGATGAACAAAGTGTGCCTAACCACTGACATATTCTGTTGAGTTTCCATGACGAAGTGTGCATTTGAACCCAGGTCTCTTGAATTCTAGTCTGCTCCTGTATCCACTATAACACACAGGCATTGATTAATTCTGAAATATAGGAGCTTATCATTGAAGCACAGCAGGACTTGGGAGAAAATGAAAGATTTGAGCCAGGGCCCTATCACTTCAAGCAAGGTCAAAAGTACATTAAGGTCACCACAGAGCACTTAGCTATCTGGCTATGGTAGTGTATTTCAACTTGTCCAGTTCTATAGCAATGCTAGCTGGCGATTCACATTTCACAGGGATGCATCTGTTCTGCATTGATTTTACAGGAGTAACTTTACAGGAATGATCCAAGCTGCGGAACCCTACCTTTAAATGCAATCAGCACACTGGATAGCTCCTACAAGATTCAGGGGAAGACTTCTAAGCTGATTCTATATATCAGTGAAATCCTGGGTCACTAGTCTTCACAGTGATAGGAATAACACAGTTTCAGGTGGACTTGTAGAGCAGCGAAGCAAGTTTGGACAGGTGTACATACTTTGTTACAAAAAATATTGCTTTGTAAGGTTCCACTAACCCCAGAACTGTTTCTATTGAGTATTATACCAGACAATATAGATAAGACAAAGAAATACTTATTATATAGATAGTCACTGCAGCCAGAATTCTTTATGTCAAGAATTGGAAGAAATCGGTGATACCGGAACAAGAGGAACTTATTGAGAAGATACAGAAGCAGCAGAAATGGATATCTTATCAGAGGTGCTGAAGGACCGTCCAATACAAAAGGCAACTGAACGAGGGGATTTATTATATAAATGGCTTGAATCACCATATAGTACTTGAATAATATAGATTAAAACTAGGTTGTAAGTTATAACCTGGAGGGCATATAGTAGAAAAGTGGAAAGTCGAATTGATATGGCAATATGAATAGATTGGATGGCAGTACATTTTGTGTTCTCCTCCCCCTACTTTCCCCCTCATATCTCCCTTTTACCTTCTGTATCCCCTACCTTATCCTAAATTGTTAATAAAGGTAAAAGGGAAAAAAGAAATAACACAGTTTCAGTAAGACTGCACATGGCCTGTTTCTGGAAGCCAACACCAAAGCATGAGTATAAGCATGCATACCTGTGGAATCTTGTAGATGTTCAAAATGTTGGCCATCTGGATAGAGTTCTGGGAGGTGAGCCCACCAATGGCAGCCACTAACTTTTCCTTCCAGGTGCATTTATAATTGGGAGGATTCCCTTGTCCTGTGAAGAGAAGGTCTACGGTGGTCTCTGAGGTTCTC